TGCATGTTCAACATTTAGTCAAATATTTAGCAATTTTTTTTTTCATTCAACAATTCACACCCAACACCACTCTCCTAGTGTCCAATTTCATTAAGGCAAAGAATCTGTAGCTCATCCATGTTCGATGCCAAACTATCCATGCTCAACGTAAATGAGGCAGATAACCCCTAAATTAATTATGCCTAGCATGGGCAAACCCACGCTCGACCTCGTTCAAAAAGAGAGCCTTTTCTTGACTCATGTCGAGTGTCACAACATTGGTGCCCAACGTCGATTAGGCATAGAGCTTCAATCACGATCATGCTTGGTGCCACGCACTTGGAGTCCAACGTCACTAACTCTAAGGACTACAAGGGTATCCACACCCAACACCTTTCAACCCACACTTTGTGTGACCAAGTCAGAGAGTTCTCCTCTAACTCATGCGCGACACTATTAATCCTACTCTTGGCGAGAGTGAGATAGAGAACCTCTAACCTGCATCATTCATGCGCTATGAAATTATGCTTGGCATGATGATGAATTTTGCACTTGGCAGATTCACATTTTTGGGTCTCCGCACCTAAAACTCAGAAAAACCCAACATGCAATGCCTGATATTACAATTACAATATAAGCATTTCATTTCCAACCAAAATAACCACATGCGACCAAGAATGACCACAGTTCACCTAAAATATCTCCAACATGTTTAAGAATCCCAGAACCCACAATATAAGAGTTCTACCTCATAATCATCAACACAATTGTGGTTTAATGACATTAAACAGTATACAACATTGATACTAATCAATTCATCAATGATTCAAGTTGTAACTTCTCTTACCTCTAGTCGTCCAGACAGTAGAAGTTCAAAATAATAGAATCTTTCAAGACTCTGCACGACTAAATCATGTCTATGATCCTCAGCTCTGGAAACTTCAAAACTCAACTAAATTACTACTAATTATCAAAAACGGATCCTAACACCCTTTTGAAGTCTAAGAAAAAAAATAAAAATGAATGTGCTACATCTTATACTCTCTTCATTTCAAAATATTATGACTCATTAAAAAATACTCAATTGATATAAGTTTAACTAAAATATTCTTGATTCTTTAACTATAATTATCATAAATTATTTTACAATTTTTTTTATACATTCCAACCATTAACAATAATAAATAAGAGTAAATTATATATTACAGCTATACTAATTAATATAAATTAAAAATGCTATTTTTATTGCTGATGTTTCTTTTCAATGCTAAAATTATAAATTATTCTCTTGTAGGGACAAATTTGAAGAAAAAAATAGAAAAGTTAAAAAAATAATTAAAAAAAGTGATTAACAAGACTATTATTTTGATAGCCACTAGTTACGACATGATTAAAACCCCAACTCAGGTGAATTAGCATGCAATTGAATCAAATTATTTTATTATAGTATTAAATTAAACTAAAATTTCTAATTTGATTTTGTAAACCTAACTTTTTGAAACGCTTAATCATTACTTACAGAAATAAAGATATTTAGACTTTTGCCTCCAATCAAGACACTCAGTCCAAGTATAGCTTATGAGGCTATTTATGAGGTCAACATAAAGTTATGGATTTATGAGAATGTTCCACAGAGTTCAAATACATGATGGACATGAGTGAGGTGCTAAAGATCTTGCACAGGACTCTTGGCAAACTTGAAATGCTTTTATTTATTTATTTTTTTTGCAACGCTTGAAAAGCATTTTGGCACTGAAAAACTAGCGTTCCAGCCGAATGAATAGGTCAAGTTGACTTATAAATACACCGGTTTCACTCTGAGCGGTTTGTATTAAATTCATTTTCACCTATTGACTGTTTCTTTTTTCTTTTACTAAAGACCTGTTTGAATAATCTTATTTAGGCTATGTGAGTTGAGGAATGAAAAGTGAAGAAAAGAAGCCGAAAAAAAAAGAAAGAGAAAGAGAAAAAAAAAAGAGTAGAAAGTGAAATGATTTTTTTAGATTACTGATTTGATAGAAAGTAAAAGAAAAAAAAAGAAGAAAATGACATAAATATTTTATATAAAAAATAAAATAAAATTCATATACATAGAACAATGTTGTCTCTCTTCAAACATCTCTATCCATTTTCTTCGCAATTTGGATGAATAACTTTTTCGATAAGTACCGTTATAATATTATTTTTCCTAATTATATATATTTTAACATTTTAGTACGTTAGAATTTAGTTAAAATCTATACACATGTTTTTTTTCCACCTCCTACTCAGGTCGAATTTGTTGTGAGTTAAGTTGATGATTTGAGTTGATATACTTTGATACCTCTACATTTCACACTAGATAAAGATTTTAATTAAAAATATTTTTTTTTTCATCTTCAATTATTCATTCCCTTTTCAATTGAATCAAACGTTGCATAAAGGTACTTATTTAATAAGAAAACATGAAAAACTTATAAACGAAAATTAACTTATTTCTATGTTAATTCGTAGAATTTTTTATATTAATTTTTCAAAAATTATTTTTAATTTTATGTATAAACTAATTTAAACTCATAAAAAATTATTTTATTTATTTTACCTTTTCCTTTTATAAATATTTATGAAAAAATTTATTTAAACATACCTAAATTAAACGTTGGCATTGTCACTAGAGATGATAACGGGGTGAGTCGGATACGGGTTTCATGATACCCGTCCTCGTTTTCACGACTCAAATCCATTCCTATTTTCGTACTTGTACCCGCCGCCTGTCAGGTATATAATTTTTGTCTTCATCCCTGTCGGGTATCAGATATACCCGTACTTGTATCTATAATTTTTTTATATATATATAAAAAGTACATAATATTTTTAAATTATTTTTCTATTATATTATAATTATAATTATAATTAAGTTATTTCT